TTTCTGTTGTTGTTGTGAGCCTCCAAGTCATTTTTGACCCTAAGGCTCACAATATAGGATTTTCTTGGCAAGTTTCTTCAGAGGGGGTTTGCCATTGCCATCTTCTGAGGCTGAGAGTGTGTGAATTGCCCAAGGTCACCCAGTGGGTTTTTATGCTCGAGTGAGAAATCGAACCCTGATCTCCAGAGTCCAGCACTCAAATACTGGAACTCAAGGTGGTTTACAGAAAGTAACAGACACACATAGTTAAAAGTACATTCAGAAGCATAGAATTAAAGCCTTTTATTTGTTGGTCTGTGCCTCCAAGTTGTTTCTGACTTAGAGATGCTAAGGGAAACCTACTGTTGTTTATTATTTATTAATTATTATTTTATTTTCTTATATCCCACCTTTCTCCCAATATAAGGACTCACTAGGCAAGGTTTGTTCGGGGGTGGATGGGTTTACCCTTGTCTTCCTCTGAGGCTGAGAGAGTGTAACGTGCCCAAGGCCACTCAATGGGTTTCCATGGCCAATTGGGATTTGAACCCTGGTCCAGCACTCAAACCATTACATCACACTGGGTCCTTACACATTACAAATTACACAGCCTTCAAATTACTTATGTCCCCAGGCTAGGACCTTTATTGTTATGCACCTTCAAGTCTACTGACTCAATTTCTCCTAGTATTTTCTTGGCAATATTTCTTCAGAGGCGGTTCCCACTGCCTTCCTCTGAGGTTGAGAGAGTATAGCTTGCCCAAGGTCACCCACTGGATTTCCATTGCCTTGCTTATTTTATTTCATTTTGTTTGTCTCCTTCCCTTCTCCTAAGAAAACCAGGGAACTTGTCTCCACTCACTGCAAAGATGTGATTGTGTCCCCTTTCTGAATCATTTCTTTATTCACAAGTCAGACCTTTTACACTACTGTTATAGCACTCTGTGTGTGTGTTGTGTGCCTTCAAGTCATTTCCAACTCATATTGACCAAATTATGGGGTTTTCTTGGCATGATTTGTTCACAGGAGGTTTGCCCTTGCTGAGGCTGAGAGTGTGTGACTTGCCCAAGGTCAACCAGTAGGTTTCATGTCTGAGCTGGGAACTGAACCCGGGTCTCCAAAGTCATAGCTCAACAAACCACTACCCCATGCTGGCTTACTACGATTCCCCCATTACTGGCACTATGATCCCCCATAATTGCCATAATTCCATCCAATGGAATCCTGGGATTTGCAGTTTAGGGAGCATTAATTGGCATTCTTAGCCGGAGAGTTCAAAGGCCTCTCCAAACTATGCATCCCAAGACTCTATGCATCCCAAACTATGCATCCCAAGATGCAACTATGGCAGTTAAAGTGGAATTATAGTGTGAAAGAGTCCCAGGACATTTTTCTTTAGATTAATTCCTTTAATACTGAACTTGACATTTTCATTTGCCCCAAGACACCAAGTTGGGTTTTCATAGGCAGTAGGATTACTGGGATGCAATTTTTAAAGACATTTCCTACTCTTTTTAAAAATTTATAACCACTCTTTATTGTTGCTTTTGCTTTTTTAAAATGCATACATACATACATACATACATACATACATATATATATCTCCTTCCAAGTGACTGTTCTCATCTTCTCCCCAAAGATTGTGTTCTTCTTCTGATAAATCCGAGTCATTAATCCTTTCCCTCTCTATTACCCCATCCCCTCCTTGCAGAGTCTGATCTTTATTTTTTTTTCTGAGTATTTTTAATTCTACTCTTTTAATTTGTAAGCTGCTTTGTGTCCCAGTTTTGGGGAAAAGCAGGATGTAAGTGTGGTGTAGTGGTTTAAGGGTTGGACTACAACTTTGGCAGTTAGGTTGATTCCCCGCTAGAGTGCAAAAAACCCCACAGGGTAACCTTGGGCAAGTCACACTCTCTCAGCCTCAGATGATGATATGACAAACACCCTCTGAAGAAGCTTGCCAAGAAACCTCTATTATAAGGTTGCCTTAGGGTTGCCATAACTGAGTTGGAGGCACACAACAACAACATCAACAACAGGGTTTCTTTCCTGGATTGTTACAATCAATATAGACGGCCACCTAATTATACATTAAATACATCAAATAAATGAAAATACACAAAGATACCCCCATCCCTATAACCATTCCAGAACCTCATTTGTTGTTGCTATGTGTCCTCGGGTCTTCCCCCCCCCCTTATGACGGCTCCAAGGCAAAGCTATTATGGGTTTTTCTTGGCAATATTTGTTCAGAGGAGGTTTACCATTGCTGTCCTCTGAGGCTGAGAGAGTATCACTTGTCCAAGGTCACCCAGTGGCTTTCCGTGGCTAAGCAGGGCTTGAAACCCTAGTCTCATTGCATCTTATTCCAACACTCAAACCACTATACCACACTAGCTCAGAACCCAATACAGATACTAAATACACCTGTTTTCCTCTGCAATCCCTCTCCAAATGATGGTCGGAAATGTCAAGATGTCACCTCCGGTCATCATTTTGAGAGGGACTCTAGAGAGGGGTCCCCAAACTTTTTGATCTGGGGGCCGGTTCGCTGCCCCCCAGATGTCCGGGGGGCTGAAGGCGCGTGCGCATGCGCACAACTCGGCCGCCATTTTGTGTTCCTAAATGCCACCTGGAGTCATGTGCATGTGCGCGTGACGCCAGGCGCATGCGCACGACTCCAGACTCCATTTTGGAAGACAAAATGGTGTGTGGCGGCGCGCGCAAGCGGTGGCGCGGGAGTGGCAGGACCGGCCACGGGCCGGTAAGAAGGCCTCGACGGGCCGGGTCCGGACCGCGGGCCGTACTTTGAGGACCCCTGCTCTAGAGGAAGACAGGCATTTAGCCTTGGCCATGGGAAGTTGTGGCCCATGGAGACAGGAATTGGCCTCTGCTCCCTTCCACACACAGTTACCCATTCCTGGTGTAAAATATTCTAGAAAAGCTGATTATTCCTTTGTGGATAAGAAGGAAAAGGGTTTCTACTATGAATTCCAGAGCTTGTGAATAGGACTTTATTTTTCTTTACATTTTATTTTTATTTACACTTTAAAATCTAAACAATACTACAATACAATACTGCATGCTAACAAAAAGAAACGCAACATATACATACCTCATATACATGATACCACCTCATGTATACCTCATATACATGATAACAATACAAAAGATGACAATACACAACATCACATTACACTCGACATATATTAAACTAAAATAGCGATAACAATTACAAAGAAACAAAATTTGACTTCCCGAACTCCATCCTGGCTCAGTTTCTTATCTCCTAAATCAATTTTTTTCCACTCAGAATTAAAAATACTCCCCCCCCACACACACTTGATCTGTCCTAAAGAAGCGATCTAAATAGTACACTATTTTCTTTGTATAATATTAACAACTCCTCATTTATAATAACTCTGCCACAGTTTCTTTCCTGAGTTGACAACAAGCCACTGAAAAAAATTATGCCTGTCCCTGACTTCTGTTACAGTTATTTTAATTTATTTGTCATTTGTTCCTATTCTGTTATTTTTAAGTATGTTTTAAACTTTGATTGTTCAATTGTATTTTAGGGGAGTGGGCTATTGGGGGACAGGATTGTTTGTTTTATTGTGTAAGCCACCCTGGTTGTATTATACAGAGAGGCGGGATACAAATAAATTTTATTATTATTGTTTTTAGTTTCTCGCCCCATTCTTTTTTGCAAAAATGTTATCAAGGGCTTCACTTACGTACTCCCTCTCAGTGTATAAGTGAATGGTACTTTTTTGAACTACAGTTGCCAGGATGCCCAAGCCAAAATAAGTACATTTTCTGGGCTCTGAGATTTTGCTTTGATGGATTTAGTGAACACACAAGCACGCACATACACAAATATAATTTCCCTCAAACTGTGAAAAGAAGCAGAA